ACAACAGGCGAGTATAACCACGCCAATGACTTTTCTGACGGTCGCACATATTAAAATCATATCAGGCGCAGTTTTTTTTCGACGTGATTGTACACTCCTCTTCTGCTTTTGCTTTACATTGGAATGTTTCTTAGGTAGATGTGTATGCATCTGTGCAAATATGTATGTGTGCTCTTCAATTTACGTTTGTTTCTATTTCTACTGATATTTATGCGTTTCGCATTTTGTTCGCTTGTTTTATTGAATTTTTCTTGTTTTTGCTTTTAATATTTAATTTTTACAACCGGTCACCCAAATAGCTTGGCCTTAACTCTGCTATTGACGACAAACGACAACACGGTCAGTATTCATTAGACTGCTAAACAGCGATATTTTTTTCCAAAGCCTGGTATTTTTTGTACCTTCTGACGTCCAATCTTTTTTTTCTATTTATTAGACTCTTAATTGTAATTTTTAATTGCTTTTTATTAATTTTTTATATTTCATTTTATTTATTAGTGCTTTTGATACTTTATTTATTGTTATTTTTTTAAATGTTATTTGTCATTATTATTATTTTGTTTCTTAAGCTGCTCCTTACTTGATTTACTTTACTTTAAGCACTGTTAGCATTTTATTCATACTAATTATGCACAGGTGTCGTCCGTCTTTGTGCGCACTTAATCGATTCGTTCTTACATTCGCTGTGGTATTGAATTAATTTTAATGTATTTTGTTTAGCATTATATTGCATTGAATTCTAAATTCATGTAATTAGCAGTCCAAGCCTCAAGTCACACTTTATGCTCATTTATACTCGCTTAAATGCAGCTGAGGGCACAAGACGGCAGTGCTAAAGGCAGCCGAAGCTATAAAAACGCGACATAAATTTATGAGTACCGATGGTAGGCTATATATCACACCGATCTGTAGTTGCTTTTTGAGCAGAAAGCGGGTTTTTATGAAATTTACAACTTTTTAATATTTATTGTATATACATAAGGCTGAGAACATATTACAGGAGAACATAAAGCAATATTGCAGCTTTTATATCTATTTGAGTTATTTTCTAAATATTTTACCCTTTTTTTTCCGCATATGCGTTTTTTTCCACTTCCTATAAATCGACATACATATATCAATATTTTCTGATAACAGCTTCGAAAAAATCAATAAACATATATTTATATATTAGGTAGAAAAATCTTCATCACCGTCAGACACCTTTTTTTCGGATGCTCTCTTGAAGATCAGCTACAGCGTCAAGGCAATTTAAAATATTTCAAAATAAATCGTAGATTATTCATTAATCAAATTTCGTAAATGCACATTATTTTAAGTGTTTTATTAACTAAAATGCCTCTTCAAAGAAAAATTAGAGGTTTCACTAATACGGCATTCTCTAACAAAGGATAAAAATATTTAAAATATCTACTCTAGCCTAGAAAAATCTTATCTCTCAAAAAAAAAAGTTAAATGACTTAAAATTCAATTTTTCCCATTAATCTTTTTAACCGTTACTACAAGCATAAGCTTATATGCATTGTAATTTGTAACAACACGCTTATTAGCTTAAACACTATATTTGAAGCTAACAAAATATGTATATGTATGTGTGAGCATTAAGCCTGTTTACATGTTACCAGCGACCGAAATTTATAAAGTTTCTTAACATACAAAATCGTCGTAAAAAACTCCAACAATGTTGCTTCCAAGGGCAAGGTTCTTGTTATATATCCTACAAGCAACAACCAGCCTATCAAAGTAACAACGCAGCAGCCCACTTGCAATAAACAAAAATACTCTAATACATGCCTACAACATTGTACATATGTAAATAAGGCTGTTAATAAGCAGCTGATGGTTAAAAAGACAAAACATAAAAATAATTACGGTAATAAAGCGACAACATTAGCATTCAAAGGTGCTTCCGCTAAAAAAAAATTATTTTATTATTTTTTTTTTTTTTATAAAATTTGATTTCTTGTTTTTTAGTTTTACTTTATTTGCTATTAATAAAATTTTATGCAATTTTTTTTTTTAATTTCATTAAACTTTTCTTCAAATTACTTTTTAATTTTTTGAAAAATTATATTTGTATATTTATGCACACTTATTTCTATGTAACTTTGTATGTGTTAGTTGACTATTTAATTACATGCTTTACAAATCGTTAGTAGTAATTAGTTAACGATTCTTGTGATACTTAAAATGATTAGTTTACTGCACATGCGCTCGTATATACAATATATATATATATATAACGGGTGATCCAAGTAGAGATACCTTTTTCAATAGCTTTTTTTGACAGATCACGTGTGAGTTGCGTCAAGATGTCATAATATTTTTGTTCAGTATTGTTTGGCATTTAATCGTCGAAAAACTGACGCCTGAATAACAATTACAAATCGTTCAACTTTATTCCAAAAATTCACGTTCTATAAAGAATGTGTTTCGCGCGCTTCGCTTAGCTAATGGTCAACATAATCGGCCTACTGAGTGTACTATTCGCAACTCCACTATCCATCTTGAAACCCAGAATTCATTATTGGATTAAATTCAACCGAATAGACCACGACCACGACCAGCACGCAGTACTATGGGCTCTTGAAAAGTTCTAAGAAGATCCGACGTTTTCGAGCCAAATTTTGTTCAGCGATAAGATCCATTTCTGGCTCAATGGGTATGTAAACCAGCAAAATGGCCGAATTTGGGACGAAGAGCAACCTGAAGAGATTCAAGAGCTGCTATTTCATCCAGAAAAAACAACGTTTTGTGATTTGTGGGCCGGTGCAATCATCGGTCTATATTTCTTCAAATATATATATATATTTGATAGCTAAAAGTGAAGCTCGTGATCTCGGCAACATTTGGTTTCTACAAGACGGTGCCACTACCCACACATCACATCAATCAATGGATTTAATGAGAGGAAACTTCGGTGAGCAGATAGTTTTACGTTTTGGGCCGGTGTATTGGCCACCAAGATTATGTGATATCACACCGTTAGACTTCTTCCTGTGAGAATATGTAAAGTCTAAAGTCTATGCGGACAATCCCACTTAGATTCAGGCCTTGGAGCAACACATCACGCGTGTCATTCGTCAGTTACCAGTCGAAATGCGCGAACGAGTCATCGAAAATTGGAGTCAACGGATGGAACATCTGAGACGTAGCCGCGACCAACATTTAAAGAGATAATCTTCAAAACTTAAATGCCAAAAGAATGTTCTTTCGAATGATAATAAACATTCCGCATTAAATTTGAATTTTCTATGAAACCTCGGAATGGATCACTCTTTATATTCATTTATTTTTACTTCGTTCTTTTTGTTGTTGCTGCTGATGAAGCACTTATTTACATAATTGATTTCGCTTAGTGTGCCGTTGATTAAGTTTATTGTGCGCCAGCAGCTACATACACACATGCAAACAAACATATATATACATACATACGCACAAATAGGTATTTATCGCTATTTGCTATATTTCAGTAGCTATGTGCATGTCTATAACTATGATATTCTTAATTCTACAATTCATCTAATAACTACCGTTGATTACTCGTTCGGTTTACCATAATTTTGCTTTGTGTTCGCCACTTTTGCGTTGAAAATAAAAAAATGCAAACTAATATTTAAATATGCTATTTATTATGGTGTTTAAGCTGTCGTTTGGGCCGTAATAACTGGTGCTATTTCTGCTGTTTTAAATATAATTATAGAATGCATACAAATTAGTTATCAATCATGCTAATACATAATTTCTAACCAAATTCCTACTGACATACAAAATCAATCGAATTATGAAAATGTTTATATTAAAACTAGTTTTGGTTTTGTTAGTGAAGTAATGCAAGCAAATATTCAAATTCCAAACTTCATTGACGCTCAGAAAATTTCCGAAAACTCCATTGAATTTATACAAATATAAGAGGAAATACAGTGATAATATTTAGATTATAACTAAAATTCAAATTCATTCAATCACATTCAAGTTAAATATTAAATATTTTGAAACTGTTATGAGTATTTTTATTGGACAAGGTACCCTAAGGATATATGTTTAGTTCAACATTTCAGGATCCATCTGACCACCTTTTTGAAAATCGTGAAAATGCGCGCAGCTACCCTTTTCCGCACTTCTCGGGAAATGGCACTATCCACCCTACTGCATATACACCAAGTTCAATAGAATGCGCGAATTTAGCGATTTTGTGGCCTTCTACTGAAAGAGGCTTCTTCCTTATGTGACCTTTACCGATTGACTGATGTTTGAAGCACATCCTGTTTAGTTGCTGCTCTAACACTACTTACGGTCAGCACCTTTTTGGGTCACTCCAGCATACTGGCATGCTTAACTGATACTTGCTCAGCCCGTCTGGCACCATAGCGCTCCAGAATTTTCGTTGCCAAACGTCGTTCCAACTTCTCTTTCCTCATCATGGTGTTGAGCTACTTATTTCCGTCCTTCGTATCGCTGGTGTTTCCCATGACTCTAGCCGAAGTTTGCCTAATAGTACTGGCGATTCCGTCGTGTACCGTTGCTCTAGAATTGTCAGTATTGGATAGATTCCTACCAACTTGTCCCGTCTTTTCTGTCTCTAGTGCATTTGATGTGTCCGAGATAGAAGTTCACCGATCCCTTTACTAGTCTTGGCGGGTTTAAGTTCCGGCACTCCGGTCCTACATTCCCAGTGATAGATCTGGGGGTGGGTTCCGACCTCCTCGAAAAATTTCTTGAGTATAATAAATTTATAACTTCTGCTTTCGTTCTTATCTTTTCCGACTTGACAACTACCACTTAAGAGTTAATGGCACGCCCAGTATTATAAAGGTTCATTTTTATTCCACTAGTTTTATTTATTTAACAATCTAAATCTATTGAACTATATTTAAATAAATGTATTTACACATTTACATATATGCACACTTGTGTTTATTCTAATCATTTTAATTATTGACAGTTATAAAACGCTCAATAAATTCTAATTTCCTCTCTCTCTTTTCTCCACTTTACAGAGATTTGCAGCTTTCGAAGCGAGCAGATGTTACAAGTAAGTAGAAATTAAGTGTTTTACTCAAATAGAATTTTTAACTAGCAATAAAAAGTATGAAGTCATTAAATATAGCAAAGGCAAATAGTACAAAACCGTCGTATGAGTAATTAACTGGTACTCAAGTGCCGCACAGAAGCTTGCTTATGCATATGCGTTGCATTAATTTACTTATCCATTTATCTTATGACATTGGAAAATAATTTAAATGATATATACTAGGGTGGAGCGAAAAAAATATTTTTTTTTTTGCTTAGCCTGAGGGTAAATTTGTAGATTATAACTACTCACTTTTAAAGTAAATTTCGAGTTAAAATTTTTATTTCGTAAGAAATTTTTGGTAAGTGTTCTAAAAGCTGTGGAGGACTCTTTCTGGCCAATTAAAAGTTATCAACTTAAAAAATTTTTTTGTGGTCATTATTGGAGTTTTAAAAAAGTCTTAAACGACAACATGCTTTCCTTAAGCGTTAAAATAAATTTTGAGTCAAAAACCGTCAAATTCGGTAATTTTTATATAAATGTGAAGACTTTTCACCAAAACAAATTTTTTGGTCCAAAAAAAAATTTCACTCGAAATTTACTTTAGAAGTGAGTGAGTAGATGTTAAAAAAACTGTTTTGTTTTTTCCAAAAATTTTCTTTTTTATAATCCAAAAATTTTACCCTCTAGCTAAGCAAAAAAAAAATTTTTTTCGCTCCACCCTAATATATACTCACTCACATACAATGTATGCATTTGTGACTAAATTTTCTTTTATGTAAAACACTCTGATTTTAAGTATCCGCTTGCACATGTTCGCAGTTTTGAAAAAAAATATTTAAAATTCCTTGCCATGTTCTATGAGTTTACGTGTCGCGACACGTGAGCAACTTGTCATAAATGATTGTTCAGTCTTTAGTCTTTATTACTGTGAAATTTGTATTGTGGATAGATATTAGTAAAAGCAAGTCATTAGGCTATCTTCTACAATGCTTTAAATGCTAGCAATATGCTCGTAATATATATGATGTTATATATTGTATAACAAAAAATGTTAGTTTAGTGGGCGGAAAATTATATTGCAAAAGTTTAGTAATTTATAGTTAATTGTGGAAGCACAAATTGCATTGTCATGTTAAAAAGGAATCCCTCTTTACGTTCATTAAATTATTTATTAATATTAATTGTTGTAGTATTTTTTATGTAACTCGAGGTTAGACGACTTAAATGAATATAATAAGCTAAAAAATGATTTTTGAAAGTCCCTAAAAAAATGATGGCATCAATTGTCTATGAGTAAACACTCAAGCAAATTTAAAAAATTTGTTTTGAAAAGAAAAAACAATTTACAGATAAACTTAACATAGAGAAGCTTAGATTGAACTCAGCGGTTAGATTTTAAAAGGCTATAACTCAAACACTGTTTAAGATATCGACTTAAAGTTTTACTATGTTATTTTAAAGGTATACCCTATCGAAAGATGAAGAAAAAAAAATTTTTTTTTTCAATTTTACACCAAATGTGCGCCTAATTTGCAAATAATCATCAAAATAACTCTAGTCCACCTTAAAATTGAAACTAATTTTTGTCATTTTTTTAATCCATAAACATAAAATGTCATTTAACTATTGGTTATTTAGTAAGGAATTCAATTTTATCATCAAAGTTATTAAAAAGCCGAAAGTCCAGCTGGAACTCTTTCGCTTGACCGCATTTGTCTGCGAGCTCATATGTTTTAATTCTCCTTAATTTTTTTTCTAATATTCATATAATATTTTATTACTTTTTTGTTTATAAATAAAAGAATTCCTTAATGACGCGCATAAAATTATTAGTAATAAATTTCTTATAGTAAACTAGTTTAAAAAATTATTTCAACAACTGAGAACTGTGTGCCCAACCACTGATGCAGGTTTTTCTTCTTTCTTTAACACAAGCTATTGGCATTTTATAAACTGTATTAAACGAGTTATCAACTACTTGATCTAAGTCAGAAATTTACCAATTCTAAACTTGTTCAAATAATTAGACATTTAGTACTTGAATTATGAATCAAAACCTCCAGTCTTTCTTAAATAATACTTAAGAAATTTCGGCTTTAACTGAATCAATCAATAACCGAACTTGAGTGCTTTTATAGGCATATCTCAAACAGCTCTCATAAAGTTACTTAGGTAGATTAAAGATCAGCAGGTAGCAAAAGCTGAGTGCCGCTTGAGATAGTATAAATTCTGCGATGAGGAAGCTGCATAGTTTCGTGTGAAAAATCTTAAGTACTGACACTTAGTCTTACAATTAACTGTCAAATATTAAAAGATTATAGATTTCTTACTCCCATTTGACTGACAGATCTTATATCAGTAGGTTATTTAAACAATTTTAATACTTATAAATTTACAAGAGTCCGTATTCCGCCGCAACATGTTAATTTTTACTCCATTTTACTAATGGACGAATATTCAAGAGGCACTTGCAGCAGACTGACAGAAACAAAAATTAACGTGGAGATAGCAAGCATATTTAGCATTTTTATATCAGACATATATATTTTTTAATTCGAATAATTTTACGCAATTTGAAAGACATAAAAATCAAAAATGTATAGGTATACTACCCAAAACTGAATTTCAAAAAATGTCTCATGTTTCTTATTACATAATTACTGGTGACTAGTTTTGAGTTTAATGAATGGCTCTGCAAAAATGAACCGAAACCGAAAAAAAAAAACAAAAAAAACCAGGAGTTATAATGAGTGTATGTAAAATTCAAACAAGCGTAGACGTGCTTGTATTGGCTCAAAGGGAGCCTATATTAAAGATTCAAATACGTGAAAAAGTAGTTTTTTTGTTGTCGGTCCTGCTCATTGAAGATCAGATGGGAGAAAACAGTTGCTACTTTGAAAATAAACTCACTGGTGCTTAGATAATAAAAATGACACCCAGAGGGCGCTGCAAGGAAGTATTAAGCAGACATAGATTAAAACTAATTTATTAAAATATATCTTCAAACAAATTTTAGAAGATGAAAATCATAAACAATGTTATTTAATCAGAAATTCACTTCAGAAGTGATATATAGATTGAAAACTAGCACCAATTTTATATTTTATATTTATTTATATGTAAGTTATCTAAAATGAGATTATGATTCTTTTTCAATAAAAGAGAGATCTACTAGTTTAACAGCCAAACTCAGTATTGTAGTTTTCCAAAAAAAAAAGTTTAAGTGTTTAGCGGAATATTACCAGACTTATTCTCCTTCCTCTTATTCGTCTTATTCTTCTTCTTCTACTTAAGTAGTTTCGGCGTGTCTGATTTTGTTTTTTCGTTTTTAAGGCTCAAACACCTCAAGAATGAATTAATATTAATGAAACACTTATATAATATATTATAAATGATTTTTAAATAAACTCACAACTCATTAAAATTAACTTATCAAAAATTTTCCATGCTCCATATATTATACCTAATTACTTCAAGCGAATCAAATCGACATTTTTGCGCTCAAGCTGAGGTGTTTTGTTTACCTTAACGCTTTTAAGCTTCTGCATGTCAAGTTCCATTCAGCCGCTGTCTAACTGAAACGCTTACACTTGGCGCCGAAATTTTATATTTCAAACAATAACATACACAAGTCTATATTTTTTAAACTAGAAACAAACTGGAAATTGTGGCTAATAGTTCTTAAACTGGTCAAAGCACTGCAAGCTTTAGATATACAGACACGCATACATATTAAATTCACTACATTGTTATAAGAAGGCTGACGTGTGAATATACGTAATTGTTTATTTACTTTAAAATTCGTAGGCATGTTTTATTTTGCTGCTGCAAATTGCTGTTTCATTCGCAGTCATCTTATAATGAGAGAAGCCATTACTAATTGCCAGCTAATGTCTAAAGTTCTTGGCGCGCCGCTGTGTTTATGTGTCAGTGTTTATACATAAACCCACATACTCATTCACACATACATATATCTACTTATGAGTATTGTATAACTCCTTTATTATATTTATAAGTGCTACATTAATATTTTTTTTTGTTGTTACATTAATCATTATAAGCATTCCATACAATAGTTTAGAGTTTTCCATGGCCTTGTCGTGGCCTAGTTTCAAGCGTGCTATGCTATGCCAGGTGGTGTTGTGTTATGTTGTTACCCCGGAAGGTGTTATTTTTGCCATTTGATTTCTATTGTTTTATTCTAAGCGTTTTTCTTAACATATTCAAATTCAGCTTTTGTTTAATATTTTTTTTCAAATTTTTATTTTTTCAGATTTTTTATTTTTCTCATATTTATTTTTGCCCAATTTTTTTCATATAAATACATTTTCGTACACATAAACATATATAAAAATCTGGCACAAAGCCTTTTTGTTGTTTTATTTGTTTATATTTAATGTAATTTAAATTTAGTGTTTTGCTGTTAGTCACAAGCTACAAGGTAAATGACATAGGAAGCGTTCTAGCTGTTCGCCATTCGACTTTAGTTGTTTTCTTGTACTTGAAATTGTTGTTGTTGTTATTTTTTTAATGCTTGATAGCGTTTCACTAAAGTTGTATTTAAATGTTTGTTGTTTCACTTAATTGCATAAGGAATTTGGTTGTTTCGCCCGAAACTAGGTTAATGTGAGCACACCCATACAGACATACATACATATACACTTATCAGTCAACTAAATTTATGTTGTGTTTTTGTTTTTTCTTTCTGTTGTTTTCAATTATAGTGCAATTAAAATGCGAAATCAGGCTTGGTTAGTTAGCGTAGATGCGCAACAAACCAACTCATGTGCACTGAATTCAATTATATATGTACATAAGTATGTTATTGTATGTGTGTTTCAATGTTATGTAGATAATTATAATTTAAATTTAATTAACAACATTTAAATACTAGTGCGACTTTTGTTGTGTTGTGTTTATTTTAAAGAAATAGTGACCTTTATTTTCGGCGGAAGAGAACTTTTTATATCTGATAAAAATATTTGCTAATATTAAATGTAAAAACCAGCTTAAAATTT